GGAAAAAAGAAAAAAAAAGGGGAATAAGTCTGGAGTGAGTTCCGGATCTCTAGAGGAGGCCAAGTGTTGCTAGGCAGGTCGCATCTAGGCAAGACACAGCAGTTTAATGGTTCGCTCTGACCGCAAATGGATGTTTCGGCATCTGCGAGGTACGCCGAGGGTGAGTTTACTCTTTGGTTAGAACACTTATAGATTGTGATTTCTTCGTATACCGATGTAAGAGTGATAGTCTGTTCCCATAATAAAGTAAACAGGATTGCCGAAGGAAAAAAAAAATTTTAAATATATATAAGTTGAATATGATAAAAAATCAAATAAATAAAAAAAATTATAACTTTATAAAATATAGGCTCAACAATTGAGAGTGCTTAAGTAGTTGGATAACTTTGAAGATATGCATTATAACGTGCTTATTGTGCGTCATTATTTAATAATTATTGAATATGATCGTGCAAAGCACATAATGAAGAAGTGCTATCTGTGCTTTCCTTGATTAATCTATTCATTACTTTAACCCTCTGCATACTTTGTATTCTAGCAGTAAAAATTCTAATCTGAAAACACTTTGCTTATTTTTGATAACAATGATATAAAGTATGATTAAGATATTCTTTGGATTGAGGATATTGTTCAAGCAAATATGTCCAATAGTGATAGAACTCATTTTTATATAAACTGTTCCGAGTATACAAGAATTTTTTATAAAAAGATTCAAAATTTTGACCAAGTTTATTTTGCAAATTTTTTTTGAGATTTTTTTGAATATAAAACATGCAAAGAAAATGATGCATAATAGGTATTTTTAATGATATTGTATTTATTAGTGCTAGGTCCGCATCTAAGAAAAGACAAATAGGTGCAATATTATTAGTTGTCTAGATAATACAATCAAGATATCATTTATAACTTTTAGTCGTCTTATCTTCCAACAAACATTGTGCAATGAGCTTACTTTTGGTGTTATTATCCATAACAACTAGCAACCCAAATATATACCAAACCAGTTAGTTCAACATGTATTATCTGTTTGAACTACATTATAATAATGCATAAGACATTGATATTGAGTAGGTGACATCTAAAATAAACCAACAAGTCAGTTATCAAATAGGTCAAGCTTTGTATTAATAATCTAATCAGGCTCTTGATTTTTCAGAACAAGCAATCTATTAATTATTTGTTAGGCATCTCCTTGGTGCTTAGTAAGAGGTGCTCTAAATTTTTAAACAGTATTATAAAGGTCTTTCTTATAAATAGTTTGTTTTAAAAAACTTGCAACTAATAAAAGATATATCTGTTTAAAATACATATTTTCTTTGGTGACATAAAATTCGATCCTATCCATTACTTTGCTTGACAACTTGTAAGATTTAGGATTATACAAGTCCATATTAGGTAATATAGAGTAATTATGCTTATTAGCTATACTTGTAACTTTTATTTTCTCTGATGATTTACTATATTAAGATTTATATGCCATGAGCATTTTATTTTTTTAGATACTCTATTACGTTAATTATTCAAATCAATTACTTTGTTACATATTGTTTCGCTGAAAAAACTACATTTAAATATTCTATAGTATATAACCCCAGCATTAACCTCACAATGCTTACAACATAAAGAAAATCCCATTAATTTTACATATTTGTCTCGATGTGATTCCACTGATTCTTATGAAGAAAAGAAATTACTGACATTAATAGAAATTTCCTCAGTAGAGCTAATATTGACATATTGTGTAGTATCATCAATAACTATAAGATTTTGTGTAGTATCAACTTCAACAATTATAAGATCATTATGAGTGTAGTCTTCCTCAAGACTTATAAAATCATTGTAAACAGTAGCTAAATAATCTTCCTTAATATTTATAGGATCATTGTGAGCAGTAGCTAGATTGTCTTTGATATTTATAAAATCATTATAAGTGATAACTAAATAATCTTCCTTAATATTTATAGGATCATCATAGGTGATAGCTTGGTAATTCTCAGTATTCATAAAATCATTGTAGGCAATATCTAAGTAATCTTTTTAACATTTATAAGGTTATCAAAATCATCATGAATGACATATACATAGTTTTTCTCAGTGATTAAAAGATTGTTTCGAATAGTATTCATGTAGTTTTTTTAATCATTATATGATCATCTGAAACATATATTTGTTGGCGTTCTTCAACTCCTATGTTGGCCCAGAGGTTATATTCCTTATTGTATTCTGCAAATAGAATATCATTTTAAAAACCTTCTGAATATATACCTAGTTGATCTTATTATTGATATAATTTTAACACTTTTAGCAGAAAAAATTAAATATATGAACAGGACATTAAATGTATAAACTAATCTTTCATTGCTTTAAACTACTAGAAAAAGATCTATACACTACTATTTCGTATCTTTGTTGCACTAGTGATACTTTTTAAAGTCAAACTATTTATAACTTGAAAGAAAAAAATTTAATCACATTTCAATCACATTTTTTTGTTCTTTTATTTAACCTATACAGTATTATAATATATCAGGTATAATGTATATAATGTAAATTTTACTCTGCATAGAAATAAATAATGTAAAAACTCTAATTATATGTAGCAGAATGTTTGTTTACGGTAATGATCACTGCCATTTTGCAGTGATATCACCACTGTTACAGTTAGTTAAACTCTTAAAAATTTATATATAATTTATATATAAATTTTGTATAATCTATATCATATAGCTCTTTAGATAACTGATAAATTATCTATTAAGGATATAATTTCTTTTCTATAAAAATTATTTTTTAATATAAAAAAATAAAAAATTTTAAAATTTTAGTATTTGTTTTTTTAAACTTATACTCAAATATTCTATTTAATTTTTATAAAATATTAAATTTTTTTTTTTTTAATCTTTGGCAACCTTGCTAGTAATCCTTTATTAAGATTATTATATAAGTTAATTATATAATATTGAGCTTAATATTTAGACCTAACATCCACCAGCTACTTTGTGGATGCTCAGAAGCGATCTGCTATACTGGTTGAAAATTGTTTTATAACTAGAAGCCTAATACCAGGTTAGCTGTACAAACTATACTAAAAGAGTTTGCAACTACTGTCGGCCCTCCCAAAACCAATCCTGTCAAAACCGATAAACTGCCATAAACGATTAAAATTCGGTCCACCATGTCGGTTCCATAAGTAATATTTGATAACCTGTCATTTCTGATATCTGATAGTCAATTTATTTAAGTTTCTGATATGGTTGATTATAATTGTATGAGTGCGCAACAGATTACATAATGTTCTAAGCATGTTCAACCAAACAGAATTAATCACCGGCAACATATACATAACCAATTTTTGCAATCTTTTTAAAAATTTTGAACGAAGTTTTCTTAATAGCTACCTGGCAAAATTCTATAAAACTTTTTTATTTTAATTCTACACATTCATAAA